CGAGCGCGAGCTGCACGCACAAAGTGCACAGCAACATCTTACGTTAAATGTTTCCTCCGCTTCGATGAACGCACGATTTTTGCGTCGCGTGGGTAAACTGGCTCAATTACGCGCAGTCGTTTTAAAATCGTATATACGAAGACTGGCTATCAGTCGGTTGGATGCAACAAAGGATAGAAAAAAACGTGTCTTTATCAGATCTAAATGATGAAATCATAAAGACGAGAGATAAAGCGACTTGATTTTATTAATTTCTTTGCAGAACGTTACGTTAGCAATTATAGATCATTTATCAAATATTATCCGTATTCTAAATAAAATTAATAAGAATTAAGAAACAAGCAAAAGAGATACGAAACTAAATTTTATAAGATAGATCATTTCAAAGAAGAACATGAATCGTCCACTAATTTAATATTTCGCGTCTAGTTTAAGATGTTATAAGATGTATAAGTTTTCTTTTGATGAAGTTATATTCAAAAGTGTTCGAAAAAGACGATTTCTAGTACGTGAAGAGTGCAGCCTTGTGCGCATCCAGTCGCAACGTTCTAGTGTTTACGACGTGGCTGGAATTTCAAAATTTTTAAAGCATCTGCAACCCAACGGCAGCTGTTTATGCATATCCCATTCGCCACTTATTCCGGGTACAATATGACAAACTCGACAATATACAAACGTCGTCTCATTTCCGTAAAGAACATTAAACTGCTTTATTATCGCATTTTCTCTTAATTTATACGTACATATCATACGATATTATTTTATTTTTATTAAAATATACAGTTCTGTAGCGTAAAAATATTAAAACACGTAACTGCTCCGAAGAACACGAAGAGCATCTTGCGGTAAAAGCAGATGATGAAACATCATGACCGAATATATCAAATTTCCGCACAAAAGCAGCTACGCTGGCCACGCGACTGCTTCCGTTTATTTTCGTGATACAGGCACACGTGGAAAAGGTAGCATTGTTTCCTCAGAGACGCTTTCGGATACCTGTAAGTATATACAGGTGGTTGCTCAACACGAGATCCATTGTCCAGTTTCTAACCCTCGTCTTACCGCTTCCTACACGATTACCCTTCGTAAACGAACCTATAGTATTTAACATATAGTGAAATTTCACCATAGTGACTGGTTCAGTGTCCTTATAGTACAATCTTAATCATGTGCCTTTGGATTAAGATTTATTACAATTCATTTTTTTAATTGTATTCCTTGACTCGCAATATAATTAATAATCTTGTGTAAAATTGCTTTTCTAATGATGCTTATTTGCAAATTTGATAAGGAAATAACATTAAAAATTAAATCAAATTTTATACATATACATATATTGATCAAACAATAATACATATTCGTGAAAAAATTTATTTTAATTTATTTACTCGTTTAAAAATTATTGCCCTAAAATTTAAAAAAAAATATGGTCATTTTGTTGCATAAGATTATTTTAAACTATATTATTTGTTGTATTATTTTTTTTGCAGTTAGTTTCAAGGCGTATTTACGAACTAATATTATCAAAATCTTTTGAATGATATTGACTGTGATATTAGCTTATTTTAGTTGATTGTTTTAACTGATATTGTGTAATCAAAGCAGCTTTAATTAATGAAACGAAAAGGGAAAGTTTTCAGTGTATTTTACAATCAATTTCATCGATGAGAATTCTAAGACAAGATTTACAATTTACGTTTCGTATTCATGTACTACATTATCTGACGTAGAGAGTTTAATACGCGGCTGGTAACAATCACGGCCAACAGCTGACCGACACGCGGTGCGCTCCCGTTAATTTCGACACTGAACGAAAGCCGCGCGAGACGCATCGGTGATTCCGCAGAATTTTCAGAGCCTCCCAAGCGGGGGCACGAAGAGAATTTGCAAAGAGAGAAAGAGAGATAGGGACCGGCCCGCGGAGACGTTCGTCCTTTTATATTTGGCACATATGCTGCCAGGTGCTCGCACCGATGGCCAAAGGGTAGCGTTTTGAGTTTTCTTACCTTATTCCTCACGGCTTCTTCATTTCATTTCGTTCGACGTCTCTCATTCTTTATTTTTCTCCCTGACGACGTCAACTGTCAATCATCTTTTTATTTGACTTCACTTTCCTCCGTTGCGGGATAACCATCGTGTTTGCAAATGATAATAGCACGTATGGTGTTATGACAAGCACGCAAGTATGTATATACGTAAAAAGAAATGATAGTTTAAGAATAGGATATAAATTCTTGTTCTTTCTCTCATAGATATATTCTTCTACATATTTCCAGAGTTGAAAAAATTATTTTATAAAAATCACTCGTTATACTGTTATCATCTTTTTTCCGAAAGCTATATACTTAACGTTATTAATTAAGTACTATTATTCAAAAACTAATGAATCGTTACGATTTTTGTTACTTTTTCATCAAATTTAAATGACCTTTTTATTAAAGTAACATAGTTGTCAATATAATCACTTGTTATCATTAACTCTTGAAAAAATATAACTATACGTTTTATCATACAATTACATTAATCGCTGTAATCATCTGTTGTTATTAAATTAATATAATATTAATTTTAAAAAGTAATATATGAGTTTTATTTAAAAAAAAAATACTTTTATTAGCTTTTTGTGTATTGAAAAGGATTAAAACGAGAATTCAACGGTTCGCTTGCAACGATAACAAACATGCAACTGCCTAAAATTTCTAAAAATTATGAACACGCCATCCATTAGATTGATTATAAAACCGTGAAAAATGATCGAGCTAATAATTGTCTTTGGTATAAGTTAAAGTTGTGGTATTAGTTACATCCTGGCGTGGAACCCCTGCGGATCGGTTTCTCCCTAATTTTTGACGATGCTCCGACGTCACGATGTAGACGAGGACCCCGCTTGTTCCGGTCTGCTTGACCAGGACCGGAAGCGGGAGTCCAATGGTGAGCGGGAGGGACTCGAAACTCGAAATCCCCCACGGATATTGACGTTCCCGTGTTTAAACGAGGAGGAAGTCGGCATTTCCTCAGAGATCCAACGGCTACGCCGAAACGAGAGCTCAGGAGGAACGATTTACGCTCGAGAGGATAGCATCGAGATTTACGCATTAATATCTGCGCGCTATAAAGATTTGTGGGGCAGATTTCGCGGCAAGCAGACTCGCTTCTCAAATCTTATATCGTGTGAACATTCCTTATTATAAGAAATATTCCCTGTATCGATGGATAATAAGCACGTCAATCTCGCAGACTGCGTGCGTTACAATATCACGTTGGGAAGTAATCACGGAATAATCAGGGAGCAAAGCGCGTAATAATCAGCAATAATAGCCAAACAGCTGCCTCCCGTGGACATTACGTGGAAAAATCTCAAGAAGCAATCACAAACCGTAATGATCGTTACGGGCGCTGGCTCGTGGTGGTCACGGTGTTCACCTGTCCATGATGAAGCATACAAGAATATACGGTGCCGCATATACACGCATACGCATCCACTGCGGATGCGTCGACGCTGCAATGTGCCCTGACTTTTTTTGTAACGGTCGAATTTACCTCTGTCATTCGGCTGACCGTGATATAGAGAGCCATGACTTGAATGTCGTTTACCACTCGATATCGTGCGAGACATTTATAATTAAGCTGAGAGAGAGAGGGCAGTGGCGAAGGTGGGGGGCATTGACGATTTGGCAACATCGTATATGAAACGTCATCGAAACTAATTAGTTAGGCAATTTAAAGGCGAGATAACAAGAAGACTTGACAGAAAAACGACAAGATATCAATCTCACGAAAAGATACTAAACAAGCATATAATGTGATGCACCCTTAGTGTCACAGGCTAATCATATGTAAACCACACGATTACGGCAGCTCTCGTTCATAAGTCACTTCTATACTAAAACTTCTATGCGCTCGAGGAAGCGATTGCGGCAATTTTCGAAGGGCGATTCTGCCTGGAACTTGCTTCCACTTGGTCTCTCCCTCTCGTTCTCCGGCTGCTTCACCTGCTCAGACGGCCGTTTTTTCTTCTTGCTGCAGAACGCCCGACTTCCCGCAAAAATGCTCAGGGCAATCGTGCTCACGACAATTGGACGAACTGTCCCGTAGTCTCATCAATGCGCGCGCTTACAGGATCGAAACCATCTATTCTTCCAAAAAGTCTTCTAGAGAAATATTATACAATTTCGAAACCTCACCTCGAACTGAATAGAAAAACAAACTTTTTGTATCTATTTATATAGCGTCAGGTTCGATTGACACTTTTTCAACACAATGTCTAAAGAATTAAATAAAATAATAACAGTAATATACTGGAAAGGTAATTTTTAACTTTTTTTTTTTACAAAAAGTCAAGTTTAAAGATTGACATAATTTATATATTTATATATGTTATTATACACAAGGCAGTATTTTTACCGAACAATATTGAAGATTGATAAAAGAAACATATTTTAAATATATCTAGTGATTTGGATAAAAATGAAGGGGGCAATTTACGGACCGATAATAAAAAGAGAATCTTTCCATGCGCTCCTGCGATTGATAAGACGCATCAACGCAATTCGAAAAGGGTTCGCCGGAAGAAAGATCATTACGAATCCTATCGCGACACACTCGAACTACGATCGTGATCATTCTATACGTCGCGCTACTTAGAAAAAAGGCAAAAAAAATGCGCTTCATGGTGCGCGCTCGCTCTTCCCTACCACGAAAAATCGCTTAGCATAATCCGTTGGACGATTTTGAACGAACGAAGTGGTGAGGGTACACGTGGAGAACATACACACTAGAGAAAGTACATGCGATTGGACGCCGTCGTGCGTACGACGAAGACGTCACTACGTAAAATTCGCGCCATTTTTACTGCGCACCTAGCACGGCGCGCCAATCAGATTTGAATTGAAACGTTTGGTGGAAGGGAGCACCGGACCTCGTGGCTCGCTCAAACGGATACGAGTCGACTGGCTCTGGAACCTCGGAACCATCCCACCAGAACTAGTCCGACCGTGGAGCAGTGAGAATCGAGGGTCTTGGACGGAGCTGCTCAACGTCGTGCGAGCCCATGAGAAGCGACCGTTCAAGAAGAAAACTTGACAGAAAAGTCGAACAGATCAGCAGAATTTACACCGCCAAAGACTCACCTGTTCCTCCGGAATACATTGACTCGGAAGAACTGGAAGTAATCGACGATCTTGGTATTATATTCGCTGGAAACGGAGAAGCGAGTGGATACGTACTTTGAACTGGAAGACTAAAGTCCCAGGGATCCGCTTGCTCGACTACGCGTACGGTGATAACACAACAAGTACCCGAAATGCTGGCAGCCTCGATTTATCACGAAATCTACTACACGCTGTTGCCCAGGACGACGATGACCTCACGAGTACCGCGCTGCCTCTTTGGCCGGCCAAATTCGCGAGAGACGATAGAGATGCTCCAGGAGGCACTGGACGCGGAGAGGAGCAAGTTCGCCAAGAGATGGGGAGTAGATCCTCGCTCCGAGGATAAGGAAAATAATTACCAGAAACGGAACAACGAGAAGAGCGACCGGTCGCCCGGTAAAAAGCGGAGTAATCCGTATTCAAGGCAGACCAGCATTCACGGTGAGCAACATTTCTCTTCTCGCGAAATATCAACGCGCGAACTTTATCGACGAGCCTTGGCGGCAATTTAGGCGCGCGAACGCGTGTCGCGTGCGTATGTCGCGAAATATGCATGTGGGAGCATATACGTTCGACAAATTTTCCTGGACGGACAACGAGCACGAATTTCGCGGGATGCATCGCGCGCGAAAGTAGGTCGACCAATACCGTCTTCTTAAATTTCTGCATGAACATAGATCTAAAAATAAGGTTACTTCTTTGCGGTTCTCAACTATTTTGTTACACGTTAAACGAAATAGGTATATTTACAATATTTGAAATTCGGCGAAAACGAGATAAAAAGTTTTAATGCAACGACAAGAACACACCTATGATTCAATATGGCATGCCACTAAGTAAGTTTATTGGAGTAGGAACAGAATTATGTAACGATTCGCATGCAGTATAGTCGTGGACATTCGGAACTCGTGACTTGTAAGTAGTTCATCGTCAAAAAAAAGTTCAAATCAGCTTTCTTTATGTAATGGACTGCTATTTAGCCTACTGGAATGGGATTGCGAATCTCTTGTTATGGCGTCATAAAAACCGAGTGGCGGCTTTTTGGCGGGAAAGCCATGACGAAGAAAGGGAAGCCGGACGCGCAGACGCGACCTGGTCGCGTGGCTCCGACCTGTTTTCTTATTCTAAACCCGCCGCCTTTCTTCCGCCTTCTCTTCGCCTCTCTTCTCTATATAGCCGTCCCTCGCCAGAATACTCTCGACTACTCGTCTTACGCTCTCCTTTGACCAACCTTCCACCCTGTCGTTTCTTACGCCAGAAGCACGCGTCATAAACGGGTCGTAGACCCGTTGCAGATAATCCAAGTAGTCTAAATCTCGGACCAAAAATTTCTCCTTTTCCCTTCTAAAAGGCGATTTACGGACACATATGTAAATAATTTCCGTCAATTTTTTTACTTATAGTTCTTTAACCGATTTATTATAGAATTTTGTTATAAATAGAATCCTATGTAGGAACAACTTTTTTTTATTTTTCATTAAATTATGATTAAAACAATTTTTTTTTATTGTTTCAAATAAAATGTAAATGAATAATACATTTCTACAATCTTTATCGATGGATATTTAATTTTTTATTTTAAAGTTAATATATCTGAAAAATTATATAGATATATTTAAAAATATATCATCCAAAGGTGGAATATTTTGAAATTTTAAAATAATTAATGGAAAGTAATTAAATTATCTTATTAGATATAGTTACTAAATATAGTTATTAAATATAATTTTGTTAAAAATTTGGATTTACGATAGTAAAGCACTATTTTTTTCTACGTAATTTTATTACATTTGAGAAAATATTCACTGGTTTCGACGGAACAACCAAATATATCTACGAAAAAAATACTTGCGTTATCACGAAAAGATAAGTGGACACGTGTGGTGTACGATCGTGAGAAGCGATCGGTCGCCAGTCGTGCAGGATGCAGTTAGAGAAAGAGCGTCGCGATCGGGAATGAGATCACACCTATGAGTCATGCATCTAAGGCGGGTGCGACAACGTACCTGTAGGACACTGAGTCATCGAAGGACCAATTTCCAAGGAGTAAAAGAAACTCATGATTGCATTCCTTGGATTCTTCAGGCATGATGCAATCAAGTCCACTTCTCTCATTTTATCGCATGAATTCTTATGCACAATGGACATTTTATTTCTTCGACCAAGTGCAAAATATTGCATGTTTCTTTATACGAAACCAATATTACCGATCGGATTGCACGCCCTCAAATCGAATGTGCCTTCACGGAAAAAACAGTTTTTTGAAATATCTAAAAGAGCTGGATCAGAAAATAATTCTGTTGTACTATCAAAATAATTAGGATGCTCTAACTCGTTGTTAGACTCAAAACTTTTCACGACATTGCTCATCATACTTGAATTTTCTACGTAATTATTTTGATAGTGCAACAAAATTATTTTCAGATCTATGATATATCTAGCAAAATTTTTAGATACTTCAACAAAATTGATCCTTCTGTGCTGTTGTTCAGGATTAAAAAAAAAAATGTTTATTTCTCGATCAGAGTGTAGAATGGCTCCTAATTAACCTTTTTGAAATTATATATAGGAATTTATAGTGGTTCACAGGTTAAAGAAATCACGCGCGCGTCCGTGTACGTTGAAACACGCGTACGCGATAATCTTGGCAGAGTGGAGAAACTTATGGTTTCTCAACCTCGTACCGAGATCCTGTGCCTATTTGCACTGATAATCCACCACACACGGTGACTTCTTGGGCTGGAACACAACGAGACCCTCGAAAATTCAACAGAGCGGGACGGCGCAACCAGCTCTTTTTCCACCGACACCTGTTGGCCCTTGCTAAGGGCCCATGACGACTAGAACGTCTTTTCCCACGATTAAATCAGACCCGCGAACACGCGATACCGTGCCGCGCGAGACCTTACGAAGGTCGCGCACCACCTGCTGAGACAAGTTGCATTTCATGCAAATACAACTTGTCTCACAACTAAATACACTAATTCTCACTTCTCCTTTACGTATCTAACATCTTTTAAGATCCAACAGAATTTGTTATCAGTCTCACGATATATACAACAGATAGAAAGAGACAGAGTTTTCTAATATTTTACTTATTGCTGTAATAATTTTAATATATATATATGTTTTTCATCTTTGTATCTACTGTGAAGTTAAAAGAAATAATAAAGATTTATATTCACACACACACACACACACACACACGCAATAAACAAATTTGTCAAATAAAAAAATATCTAAACTATTATTTTTTATCAAAACCTATTTTATCTCAAATACACGATCTGAAGCTCTATTTTCATCGATAACTAATTAAAGGAAAAATAAACACGGATTGTAATGCAAAGCGAAGAATGATCGCAACATTATTTTTCATGTCGGGGAGAATAAAAAACTCTCGATGTTCTTGATCCTAAGATATTGACAAAGGGATCCTTCAATTGCGACTTAGCAGACTTCGTGAGCCGTTCGTGTGGTTTCTCCATAAAATCGAAGACGCCTTATAAAGCGTAGGATTCAAACGAAATCCTTCGCTCGAGTAAAGAACGCGTCAGGAGGACCGCATTCGGATCCGCGAACAAAAGAAAATTTTCGAGGTGGAATCACGTTCGAGACATATGGACAGGTAAGCGTCGAGCTTTTTTCGACGCATCTAGGATCTACTTCGCGGCACGTTGAGGCGTGGAAACAGATGTTGACAAGCGAAATCGTGAACGCGACTAGAGAAAAGAGGAGAGAGGGAGGAGAGAGAAAGAGAAGACGTTGGGTTGAGGAAGAACTCGATTTCGCGCACCATATGGCGGACCGTTGCCAAAAAGAGAGAAGCGCGGAGAAAGGATCATGTCCTCGACATATGGCGGTTGTGGATTTTTTCAGTCTTTTTCACATCGATCGTACCTGGACCGTACTCTATTTACTGTATCGATTCGCAAACGCTAATATTCCTCAATATTTTAAATGCCATATTACGGATATTACCCGATTAAATCATATTCCATATTGTGTGAATATCAACCAAGATGTTCAAACTTGGTTAAAGTATAGTAGAAGCTGTTGCAAGAACATGACCGCAATAATGTAACATTATGGTTTTAGCTGTAAATAGATGGGAAATTTAACCGGATCTAATCATAAATCACAAATGCGGACACTTCGTTTTGTGTAAATAGACTTTTTATATTTTGCCACAGAATAAAAGACATGCGAATGCAATTTTACGCCTTTCATATTTTTGTTAAAGTATCGGGAAAAAAGAACAGATTTCCAAACCGGTACTGTTAATATTAAGTCGCACCTGTCAAGTAGTCAGTCAGAAAAAGAGAGAAAAGCAGAAAGAAACGAGGGTAGAGCACTCAGGTGGCTACCTGATCGAACTAGGGTGTTCCTAAGACGCAGTCTTTGTTGTGGAAATTTCGTACTCTTCTCGTACGGTGTTCCTATACAGGTTACTCTACGTCGCGTCCTAACCCAGTCGATCCATGAAATTGACTATTACGGTATCTTGAAAATATACTTATTACAAGAGAAGCTTTACGTGATTCTTCGCGAGGATATATATAGCTATTTATATGACGCGAAACGTATGAATAATCAAAACGAATGACCTCTTTACTAATCTCATTAATTTTTTATAATTTTATATGTACCGTAATACCGTAATATCGTTATCTTTTACGATGCTCAATTTTTCATTACCTATACTTGTGTGGGATGTTCAGTCATAAGGTGGCCAATATACGCCTACTTTACGCTAAACATTGGTCTACATTTATATTGATAATTATGCATGTATGCGTACGTATGTGACATACATTGACTAGGTATATCATCAGGGCCCATATTCTGTACACGTCTCCCGACAGTTGTCGGTGTCGATAATTAACAATAACCAATGGTAAGGACTGTTTTAGGAGAAAAGTTTTTATTGGCTATCGTTACTTAATGACACCGACAACTGTCGGTAGACGTGTACAGAATATGGGCCCTGGAGTCGCTTTTATAAATTCACTATAATGAATGCTATTACGTAATCATTGTAGATATTCAGTCAGAGTCGGAGAGATTAAGAGTTTTTGTCATCCCCATTCAACTGTCCAATAACCATATTGGCGTAAGGAACAAAAAAGGTCATTTATAGGGATCGAGAAACTTTATCTTTATTGCACGTTTACTTTTTGTTAATCAAAAAAATTTATTATTTTTAGAATTTCTTTTTAAAAAAATGCCGCCTCCCTACACTTGCCGTCCTTAAGCAATAGCCTACGTTAGCCTCTAATGCTAATATGGCACTGGAGCTATAATAGGAGTATATTGGGGCATGCGATATAGTTTTAATTATGTTAATAAAATCGTGCGAGTAATATAAGGTTAAACAATACATATCTAATAATAATCGTATATAATATTTTTGTTACAGATTATTGGCGAGCTAGAAAAGTATGCGACGTGAACAAAAAGCCGCTGACGGCCACGATAGACGTGTCGAAGCAAAATGTGGAATCGTCGAAAACAACGAAGGCCCCCACGACGACAACGACAACTATAACGAAGTCCACATAGAAGACGTTGAATTAATCGTATATTCTATCACATAGACCCCGTGCACACATGCAATTGTCTCTTATTTTGCTGCGGTAGCGAAAAAAACCGCCATGTTAACTTAAATATATTGGACGGTAAAACAATTAACTAGAAAACAGCTAGCTTTAAATAAGTTAAACAAAATTAATATATTTTACATTTAGCGGGGGGGGGGGGGGGGATTATTAAAATATTATTTAAATAGTATTTTTAAAATTATGAAAAACGTACTGTGTAAAGTGATAATCGCCAACTATTGAAAAGTGAGCACAAATTCTTAGTCGCGGGGTTTCGACGATTGTTTGCGTAAACCGGACTTTGTCTGCGTTACTGAAATTTGTATATTTGTTCCTTGGTCTTTCGAGCGCTATATATTATCATCAATCAATAATTGTAATAATCTTCCTTAGGATTAATCGCGACGGACGTATTAATTAATTTTTGTAAATAATTTGTCAAAAGAGAGAGAGATATTTATGGAGGTTTGGATGGATTTATCGTCGTGAGAATCGCGATTGTCAACTAAAATATTTATGATCGACATATCATTTTAGAGCAACATATTGATATGGTTTTTAATAGTATATTAAAAATTTCTCATGGCGGTGACTATCTATCGAAAGCCTGAAACGGTTGGTTCCATGACAAAACCAACGATGCAGCGCCTCCAAAGACTAACTAATTCAAAACGTCTATTCGCAACTCCGCATTCTCATCGCAAGAGATAGGAGAATGTCCTATGTACATGTTGTCTTAGAAATAAGAGAGAAAGTTCTCTAGTCATCTAGTCACTTAAGCTAGTAATAAACTATTGTGCTTTCATTCTTATCTATTGTATTATTATTTCTTTACTTCCTTTGCTATTATATTTGAAATACTATATATCTTTTATAACCGTGTTATTAGGTACATACGTGAGATGATTATACTATAGAATAATAATATAATAGTATAAGAATAATAATTAATAATTAATAATTTTTTCAGCTATATAAAACATCTCTCATTTGACTCATTAATACTTATTTTTACCAATGTAGAATGAACTGTAATATCTCGATTTAATTCATTCTTTGTCTTTTTTTAATTCTTAGAATTAAAAGAACATTATATAAGTTAAACCAAGATTAAAGGTAAAATCTACATTGGTAGAAAGTAGGAAGAACTATACTAGTGTCACTTTTATGTAAAATAATATTTTATATTCTATACATGATAAATCTTCGGTACTTTAAAATGATGAAAAATAAAAGTAAACACAGATATATCTCTGAGTAGTTTTTCTTTAAAGAACGATACAAAAAAATTTTTACAAAAAATTTCTGCGTAAAAGTTTAGTAGCACAAAAAATATCGAGCAGGTATTCTACTTCACGTCAAAGCGTGTAAAATATGCTATTGACATTATTATAATAACATAGTGAACATATCATAATGCCATTATCAGGAGATGCAGTAGCGTCTGTCATCAAGTAAGTATATGAGAAAAGGTGTCGAAAGAGACGTTATGGCGTATCTTTTACAGGAAGGAGAACGCTTAAACATAGTAAAAAATTATCATTTTGTTTAAACAAATTGATTTTATACAAAAATAAATATATTGGGGAAGAATATAAATTTTTACAATTACACAAAAATTTTAACAATCATGTCCGTGTAAGTGCACTTGATGAGTAGATATGAATATTGCATTTCTGCAAAGGAGGGTACGACTTCTACATGGTTTCAACTTTCCACGCGAAACGAGAGCTACCTTACACCAACAAATTTACGCATACACTTTAAAACGACATAAAAGTTGCAAGCTCTTTCGCAGAGGAAGAGGTGGGGTGAGAGTCGCTTCGCGTGAACGCAGTAGGTTCCGCCACCCCTCCCTCTGCGGGGGGCTCCACTATTGTTAAAAATAACCTAATCCATCCTATTTGTTGATGTGAAGTAGCTTTCTTGAAAGGACTAAACACCAAACGACTAACAATTCACAAATACAGGAAATGATAATAAACTTGAAATAATATCAACACAAATACGTGAAACTAATGTGGAACAGTATAATTATAGAAGTTGTGCGTCTCTTCAGCAGAAACGATGTTTGTTTCTGGATTAGCAAGAAATTAATTCTACAAGCAAAAACTTAAAAATTAATCGATTGAGACAGTAGTAGTCGTATCGCACGTATTATTGTGCTGTAATATTTATGTTGTCCAATATTTGCTATCATCCAAAATCTTTAAATTAATAACAGACCTTATACAGATGTTAAAAAGCGGCAGGCGAATCGACATTATCTAATATTCCATCGAAGCATTTTATAAGATAATCGACACGTGAAGGCTCGAGTCAAAATCATCGAAAATTAGACAGCTGAGCAATACGAATCGCGCTTTGTAACGAACATTTTGTAACATCCACCTGGACGCGTGCCATGGTGGTCTCGATGGATACATGGGGGTAAAACTATAGGGTGACATAAAAACTGTTGCGATGCACACGTATGATAATCAGTTGTTTACAAAGTGGATCAAATATTTAAAACATTTTATAAAAATTTTTAATACAATACAATAAGAAGAAAAAAGAATAAAGATATTGAAATAAAGTTGTATAACTTGTACTAACTTATATCAGAATAATATAACTAAGAAATATATTACTAAAGGCATGAGTCTAACAAACTTTTTTATATTTTTTAAAATAATTTTTGAGACAATATATAATGATAAATTCATAAATTAAATAATAATATCTAAATATATATATGAAACTAAACTTACTCCAATTTCTACTTAAATAAAATACATTGCACTGCATGCAATAAATCTTTAATAAAAATATCTTATTTTTTAGTATATTGTTCCAGAAAATGAGTTCGAATATTTAAAATATTAAAAATTTTGTAATATTAATTTTAAAATGTAATTTTAATATTTTAATTGATTTTTTATATATAAAAATAAAATTATGTTCTTTTAAAATAAGTTTTTTGTTTTCTTTATGATTTTATCTTTTATTGCATGAAATAAAAACATTTTTTTAGTTTATATGTCGTTATTGTAACAAATGAGAGATATGTATTTATTACGTGACAAAATAACACGATTCTAAAACATAATTTTATAATGGCAATAATATATTACAACATATTTTTAATGGCACCCTGTGTAGGTGAGCAGTTTACTTATCTGTATGTCAATACGAGCATGGGGGTGACTCGACGCGGTCGCTATATGGTTAATTATAATGCACGATGCACCGCAGGGTCTTCTACCTATGGGGGAAACTCTGTGAAGGGAAGCAGCTGGTTCATAGTTTTAATGGCTGTCATCCTAACTGGTCATTTCGATAATAGTAACTAATACGGTGCCTCTCGAACACAAAAACCATACCTGCGTTAAATCGAATATTGACGAAATGTCGCTTCATAAGTGGATTTTCGACCGTTACACGGTGCAACGGATGATTAGCATCGATCGTATGATTGATAGAAAACTACCAAAACTGAAAATTTCTTATTTAACTTAATTTAAAGGTGTGTCAAATCTCAAAGCATTACCGAAAATTATCCATGTTTTTAATATTGCATTTGCAAATATAATAATATTAAGACTGTGTTAATATTATCATGTAGTTAGAAATTATAAATAATGCATTGTCTCGAATTCCGTACTGAATGATATATCGACTCAAAAATTTAAGCCGTTCATTTTGAAATTCAAAGCTTGCCTTAGTTACATCTCTAGAACGACACCAGGTGTGTTGTTGAATGTACACTTAATGGATGTCTATCGCCGATACACGTGTAATGCACCCCATCGTACATTTAGTTGATTGAATTAGCTATAGAACCAGTTTAGGTTGCGACAGCACCTGATCGTAATAGTCCCGGCTGATCGATTTTGATGAATCGCTTGCGATCGTGACTGAATGATCTATCAAACTGTTCTTTTTTTTTTGGTGTACAAACCTATAAATCATTTTTTTAGATTTATGCTTTCATTACTTGGTCTGATAATGAATAGCTCGAATATTTATTGCAGATGAATCAAATAAAAGATTTCAAGTCAAGGCGTATATACAGAAACTGTTTTTCGTATTTATAAATATTTCGTAGAGTCTGACTCAATTGAAAATAAAAATCTCAGCTATAAAAAAAAGGATGCATTTTCTCATCCATCTTGAAAATGTCACGAATTACTATATAATTCCATTGAACATCTATAATAAATTACGTTGTATATTGCTTCAATCTCTTTTGCAAACTATATCTACCGCGGCAAATCAGTACCAAAAATTTTAACGGTTCGTTCCTATACTCCCGTGAAAAACTTCAACTGTCGCCCAGGCAAACTGGTAAGAAAACGCGTGTCGGCAAGGGCGATAAATTGCGATCTTTACGGTGGATCGGGTCGGTCCTAAATGAGAGGGGTAAATGCCCGATCGAGGATCACCAAACGATGTCCACAATGGCCAAAACGAACTCGCCCTGTAGCATTTCACTTTCTAACGGCAGCACGCGTCTATCCACATCTCCGCCCCTCTCCCCGCGTGTATCTACGATATATTAACTAATACCCTGTAAACACGCGCTCCTGAAAGAAGGTCCAGCAGGCTACTCTAATTAAAGGACATTCATATCGAGAGACCCGCTTCGTCGACCCCTTTACTTTCGGCTTTCGCGAAAACTGGTTCGAGTGTCCGTTTGGCCTGACCCGCCACGCGAACACCATTTGCCCGGTGGTTTTTTTGCATATGATTTGGCACTTTTAAATTTTTAGTACCTCGCAGTATCTATCAACAGTCATATTGACGTTATATATGTATATACATATATTATCATTATATTATGTAATATTATAAAATTTGCGTAAAAATTATGAAATATACTATCATTATTGTAATTTTTTGTTTAATATAAAAATATATTTATAAACAAATAGAAGTAAAAGCTTACTATTTTATTAATTTTAAGAAATTGATACTGCGTTACTAATTTTTATGTAAAAGATAACAATTTTATATATTATACTTTCACTATAAATTAAATATAAAGAGAAATAAAAAACGACACATTTATCTGATGCACGATGAAATTTCAGTCGGTGGTTCCCTCTTAGCATCGAAGTTCGATCAATCTATCGCCGATGGATTACGGTTACACAAAGTAAGTGCGTTTGCAACATGCGGTTCCCTTAGGGATGTCTCACGGAGAGACCTCTCCTCCGATTCTCTTGGCCGGTGGACCAAGACACCGCAAAAACTAACCGTATCGAGTCGCTCAGGGTTACGAATCACCGAGAGCCAACGTCCTTCGTCCTGTCTCTCACGGCTCCTTGTGAGAATCGTCGCGAATTTGATCACGATCATGACCTGTTCTCTTGGATCACAACAGAACAGAATGACGGCGAGGCGCTATTTCCAGAATCTTTCCAGCAAGCGAGCAGACGCGAATTACTATCCATCTGCCGCTGCGATCAAAGTCCCTGAGCCATCAATGACCATAAACTCCATTAAACTCCATTTTTATAATTGTTATCGTTATAACGTTAATAATAGTAATTTTATGTGCAGTTCTCTCTTATATATCGAAAAGAATATATTCCCAGAAACAATTATAATTTATAATTAATCCTTTCAAACCACCAAGTTTTAATAGAAAACCACGTAAAAATATTTTTTTAATTCAATTTAAGAGCATTTTAATAAG